TCTCTCTGTATTATCTGTCTCTCTCTTTCCCTCTCTCTCTTTCTCCAAGAATAATTTTCTGTGTACGTGTAAGTTTGTATGTGAGTGCGTGTGTGTTTGTGTGTGTGCCTATTTGTGTGTGTGTGTGAGTGTGTGTGTGTGTGTGTGTGTGTGTGTGTGTGTGTGTGTGTGTGCACGCGTTTGTGTTTATGTGTTGTGTGTTAGCTCTGGTAGTTATTCCTTAACACTGCACAGTGTGATTTTAACAGTTGGTAGATTCAGACATAATAATGCACTCTCCTCTCTGTGTTTTTGCGCTTGTGAAATGATTCGTGAACGACGCCGGGATGGGGATGCCCAGTTCTTACGACAATTGACTTGTTATAGTGCACGTAATATCCGGCTTCCCGTGGCCTCGGGCATGTTTATTAAGAGAAAATACAAGGTCTGAGACCAGGGTTCGATTGCTCTTCGATCTCCAATATCCGATCGGCTTTCTGCGTACGCCGGGTTGAAGACTTGGCGCCTACTGGGAACCTTTGAGCAATATCGTTCGAACTTCCTCTAAAACACGGAAGTTTGAGATTTGGACCTGAAAGGAGTTTAGATTATTTTTCTCTTTCATCCTGGTATACTTCTCTTACGTCCAGACTCCGCTGCCAAAAGGGTTAACGATGTATCGTGTAGATTATTGGGCGACTCGGTACAATAAATGAATACTTAAAAGGGATCCACAAAGAAAAGGAATTTCCAATGTACTTGACCTCTGCTGCATTAATGTACAACATTCTAGTTACAACAACATGCTTGCACGAAAAATCAATACATGAATAATATTAATATGTGACAACTTACAATACCTAAGCACAAGTTATTTTTAACGTACACTTGTTGGTCACTCCTGTAAAGCTACCTGTATTTTACATGAGGAAATGGTGATTTGCCATTAGATAAACTCTAGATGCTATTAATTTAAAACAGAGTCCCAGACATTGCTTAATATTATACGTAACATTATGTTTACTAGTCTTTTCCATCCATATTGAAATACAACGAGGAGAAACTTCTTTACTTGACGCAAGCAGGCCTGAAAATAGGATGTCTCTATTTTTTTTTATTTATGGTAAATCAACAGTGATGGATTGGAAACAAGTCGTGATCACGATCCCAATTCTTTTCGCGACTGGACCAGATCAAACAAACAGATTGTTAACAGGTTCTATCCGTAGCTCCTATCACATTTCAACGTTTAAGCTGCTCTCAAAACCTCATTTGCTTAACGTGCCGTTTGAATAGTTGGCTGTAAACCTACTTTCCTTTTCTTTCTGTGAACCATAAGTAGAAAGTCATGACATGCCTCAAAGCGTTTCTCTTAAATATCATGTTTAGGGCTACGTCATGACGAAAGCATAATGCTTAGACGATTGCAAACGGAAAATTCGATGTCATTAAATTATGCAATGTGAACAGAACAGTGGGATTCCCGGAAGACATGGAATAATATCAAAAGGCTAGCCCGGAATAGGGAAAGTTGGAAAGTGTTTGTTCGTGTCAGCGAGAGAATAGCAAAGATGATGCCAATGAAGTATGTAATAATCTAACAGACTTATTTTGATGATATGTAAAGAAACAGTTGGTTGTACAGGACAGATGAGAATAACCAATTTTTAAAACTCCGCTTTCCAGCAACATTCAACACTGTTCGATATCCATGTATTGTTTCAGTAAGCTCCTCGGATGTTTTTGCAGAAACTATCACAGAATACACCCGATCTTCTGTACGGAATATTATGCTTTCTCCTTTGGAGGCAAAATATTCCAATTTCTGTTTTAATGCATTCGTAATATAAATCACAAAATCCAAGATACGAAAGCTTGTTTTAACCTTTAACAGCATCTTTGAGTAATGATTATTATTGTCATGAATATACATTGATCAAGTGTTTCTTCGACATTTTCAAAATAAATCAGTACAAACAAAACGAAAATACATCGTCCGTCAAAGGAGAGAAACTTGGCGACATCAGTGCTTCATTCTCCCTTCACTACAATACTAAAATTATTGACTGTTCTAGATCAGTCAATTGTCTTCAATAGATCAAAAAGTTCCATTCAAAATCAAACGAAACTGTGCTTTCAACACGGTCAAATGCGAACACTGAAACACATTTGTGTATTGAAAATAATAGTGAAAAGAGAGAAAAAAAATCAACATCCGTCTCACACAGACGTGTAAACTTACACCGAAAGGAACACATTCAAACAGAGAAATAAACAATGGTAAAAAATCACGTCAGGAGTTGCTAGCCTCCATTGACGGGGACGAGGAGTAAACGTAGGATCAATTGGTTCTGGGGAGCGTATTTGCTCTCCTCGCCATCGTCCCCTCTCCCGCCCCTTTCTCTCTCTCTCTCTCTCTCTCTCTCTCTCTCTCTCTCTCTCTCTCTCTCTCCTCCGCAATTGACCCACTGCCTGGTACCTTGTGGCGGATTGTCTCTGATTCTAAACAGAACTTGTAACTGCAATTTTAAAAAAATGTTAACGAAGTCAGTCGAATTTCGAACACTTGTGAATTACGAAGTGTCTAAATTGCTTACCACAAAGACGAAGAACTCGCAGTGTCGATTTCTGGGTACATTCAAATTCGAGATGCTCACGCTTTTTTAAATTGTCTAATGTTATGTGAATTTGCTTAAGTTATGTCACCTCATATTATACAAATAGTAGGCTGTCATTTGATATTTCTCTACAGTAAAACTGCAGCTATATTTTCTCAGCAATCTGCTCAGTACCTTATACTTTGCATCATAGCCAGGCCTCGGTTTTGTTAAAACTAACATTGACACTTCAGGCCAGCATGTGCAGCGGAAACTTAGAGATGTAATTCACGATGGTTGAGTGATATCGTAAGGGCTAAAGACAGTGGGCACGTGTGAGTGGGTGTATGTGTGTGTGAGAGAGAGGGAGAGAAAAAGAGAGAGAGAGAGAGAGACAGACAGACAGACAGACAGACAGACAGACAGACAGACAGACAGACAGAGAGAGAGAGAATGTGTGTATACTTAAATGCGTATGTGTGTGCGTGCGTGCGTGTGAGCCTGTGTGTGTGTGTGTGTGTGTGTGTGTGTGTGTGTGTGTGTGTGTGTGTGTGTGTGTGTGTGTGTGTAGATTCATATCAGTCTTTCTAGTTAAGCATTAGGAACATACTGTGTCAACTCACGCCACTCTTCTCTTCACAGACCTCCAAGACACACCATCAGCTGCACGAAGTGGGACAAGAATTAACGATCAACTTACTTTGGACCTGCCTGCTGTCTGAGAGAAATATGAGTTGCTGTCACCAAACTCTGAACAGTATTTATTGGCTATATTGCTTTCGTTGGACCATCAGAAAGAGTGCTTCATAACCTTTATGCTGAAATAAAAAAAGATGAAGTATATAGGAATAGGAAGTTGCATTTGAAGTCAACCAAACATGAAGTGAACAAGATACTCTACTAAATATGCAAAGCAGAAACGGGTTATTTTTCGTATACAAAGTCAGGATTGGATGCTATATTTTTCATATTAGTTTTCATGCACTAACTTCAAGTTAGAGAAAAGTACACAGCATTACGTAGAGATGAAATGTTGTTTTTTTCTCTCAGAGACGATATTCTTTTAATCTAATTCCTGTTTCAAGCCTTGTCGACTCACGTCAGTCAAGGTTGCAGTACATTTTGAATCGCTGCTTGCCCTCTTGAGCGTTTGATAGTCAAGGTCACTAGATACGGACACCCAGAAATTCGGTGCAAAACGAAACCAAACCCCGAAAATTGGTCCACAGCCATTACAACCAACAACCTGTACTGTATTGCCTGAGCATCAAAGAAAAAGTTCTTGAAACAAAGTGGTTGGTTTGAAAAATCATGAATAAACTGAGGACAAGCCAAACGGCTGGAACATGAAAGTAGAGTTAGATATTCTGTCCATATTCCAAAAATGACAACCCTCTTGTGTTGTTTGAAATCTTGGGATCATTTAAATACCAGATTGTGTTGAAGACATCTGGCTGGGCCAGAAGAACGTAGACAGCATCAAAATGACGTCAACACAAGCGTATCACTACGTCACTCCCTCGGATTACTTCATTCCTGATCGAGTCATCTTCACATACACCAACGAGTCGCTATTCGCGGACTTCAACACTTCCTTCAATGCAACCCCTCAAACTACGTCCTCTCCCGTGACGTCATCAGACTCTTGGTGGTGGTCCCACTACCCTAGCGGCTTCTCCTGGCCCCACATAATCGTCGGCGCCATCATAATCACCGTTATTATTCTGATGATTATCATCGGGAATTTCTTGGTTATGTGGGCAATCGTGCACGATCGAACTTTGAAAACGACCCAGAACCTGTTCATCGCTTCCCTGGCCTTCGCCGATTTCTTCCTGGGTCTGATAGTCATCCCGTTTTCTTTGTGCAATGAACTGATGGGATATTGGCTCTTTGGGGTCGTTTGGTGTGAGCTGTACAAGGCAATCGATGTCCTGCTATGCACGGCCTCAATCATGTCTCTTTGCCTGATTTCTCTGGACAGATACTGGTCCATCACACGGGCTGTACACTACGCTCGCCAACGCACGCGCAAACGAGCTGCTGTCATGATTTTCACAGTCTGGTTCATCTCTGCCGTTCTTAGCATCCCGCCTCTGATTGGTTGGAAGCAGCCCACACGAGAGTCTGAGTGGCCCTTATGTCAGCTAAGTAAAGATATCGGCTACGTGGTTTATTCCGCCTTCGGCTCCTTCTTCATCCCGGCCTTTATCATGGTGTGCGTGTACGCCAAGATTTACCAGGCAGCGAAGCAGCGGGCGCGAAAGAACGTTGTAAAACCGCCGATGGGTGGGACGGCGGGGGAGAAGGCTGAGCAGAAACACTCCACAGAGTCCAGCATCACTGAGCACCCTCAGCCGAAGGAGTGTTCTATGGACGATGTGGATGAACCTGAAGAGTCCCAAGTTGTTGCCCCAGGCAACATGACGGAGGACACAGCCTGCGATACCGCTGTGGACAGCGTTGTGCCAACTTCCGAGGATGATGTCATGGTGAAATCCAGACGAGTACCAGAGGTAGCGGCGAGGGCGATACGTGAAGGAGAGTGTTCGAATCTCCTGTCCACAGATTCGGACTCAGAACCAAGGCGAACGGCTCTGAATAAAGCCGAGTCGGGTCGGCCAGCATTCCAAGCGGTGCCCACCAGCGACACGGACTCATCTGAGCCCCCTGCTGACCAAACCGCACTCCATAACACCCACCACAATGCCAACAAAAAAGCTGCCCCGCCCATCACTAGCGCTGCAGTAGCAACATCCTCCCCGTCTGCCAGTGTAGACAACCTCTCCAACAGCCCCGAAGACCACAACAATGGCTCTCTGAGGCGTTTTAAAATCCTCGAACTCCGTGCCAATGGAACCTCGTCTTTATCTCACGACAACACCTCGGTCTCTCAAAAAGGTTCGGTAATCACAACCATCAGGAAACATCTCTTTGTTCCGAAACGAGACAGTCGTCGCAAAAAGTACACGGCGTCCAGACCGGAATCTGGAAAACCATTAGACTTTCAGACGGCTGAAAGACAAAAGAGAAAACTCGCCAAGGCTCGAGAACGTCGAGCCACTGTTGTCCTGGGTCTTGTGATGGCAGCCTTCATCCTGTGCTGGTTGCCCTTCTTCAGTCTCTACCTCGCGTCCGCGTTCTGCGAGGGCTGCATACCCAACATGGTATTCACGGTGTTCTTTTGGATCGGATACTGCAACTCAGCATTGAATCCTATTATCTACACAGTGTTTAACAGAGATTTTAGACGTGCTTTTCAGAAGATTCTTTTTGGGAAGAGACATGGACGGTGGTAACATCAATTTCAGAAACTGAAGAGGCATGCAAAAATTATTAAGTCATCTATTTTTTGTCGTGCTTAACACTGTTCCCAGCACTGCAATGCAATGTTACCCACCTCGCCTCATTTTATGCACTACATTTTGGATCTTTCATTTGACTAATGGGGAAAGTATTTTATTTGTAAATATCTCCTTAACCACAGCACAGATCCAAGCTTCATGTATGTACTCCAGGTCGTACGTACTATTTCCTAAGTCACGATAACACATCCTGCCAGCGCCATCCCCCCTCACCCAAGCACAGACCCTGCCCACCATGTGTAATATTTTAACTGCACACATACACAATGTATTTGGATTGACATACATGCACATGTGAAAAGCGTTTAAAAGTTCTTCTGGTGAAAGAGCAAGGTGA